CAATGAATAGCATTAAAAAAGAGGCACTTGAACAATTCTGAAAGAGAACCGCAGGGCATGAATATAAATTGCAGAAAATAAACCGAGTAGCTCAGAAGGCAGCATAAAAGTGAACCGTTCTATTAACAGCTGCTGCAACAATTTATGGCGTAGTTGGCTTTAGTTGATATTCAAGGTAAGAAGTGCACGTGCAGAAGTTTATTTTTGAAACTGATTAGAAGCCTGGGAAAGTTAGTTTAATTAAAGTGCTGCGTTTTGATGAATCTGTTGATTAATGAAGTGCTACGTTTTGGTGATTAGTTAATGAAGTCCTGCGTTTTGTAAATATAAAGCTGAAGAAGAAGTACAGAAATACAGAAAGGCAACTGTTGAAAAGCCTTTTGAATCCAACGGTTAGATTAACTGTGGTTAACAGAGTTTATTAAAATTCTGTTGACATAAAAATAGAGTTATGAAATCTGTTAAAAGTTTAGTAGAAGTGTAGAACACTGCCGTTTCAGGTCAAAGTTGCTGGGTTTTTATTGTTTATTTCAGCTAAATTTCATCAAGCTGGAGAACACATCAACGGCAGAAATGCTGTCAGTTTGTGTTTCTTTTGAATCAATTGTGTTTGCTAACCTGTAAGAGTCACACGGATTGCCAATGTGGACTCATTTTTAGTATAAAAACAATAGAAGAATTAGTCTGTATGCATTGCAGTAGTTTAACAAAATTTAGTTCTGGAAATTTCCACAAATTTCAGCTCATTTTGAGCAGGATCAATTGTTTGTGATAATCAATGGCCATACAGAAAAAAGAAAGCAAACCAATTAAGCTAATACAAGATACAAAAGCAGCCTTAGAAAGCAAAAATATCAGGAAAAGCCCAAAATAAACAAACCAGTGTTTCACATAGAAAACAATACCCAATTCATAGCAGCTCACAAGACTAGAAACAACAATCAACATCATTTCACAACCCAGAAAATCACACATGACGCCTGCAACATTTCATAGTCACTATGTTGAAGTACCACACAGAAAGCATCTGGCAGTAAAAGATTACATAGCAGTAGCCTTCATCTAACATATCTAATTAAATAGTTCGGTGATATAATCAGTAATCCAGGGAAGAAAATCAGTGATTTCAGAATGACAGCCATCAGAATATGTCCACATGCTAAGCTAAAAGCTTATCATTAGAATGCGCACTGGAGATCAAGCCAGACTGAAATGATTACTGTAAATTTGGCAATTTTGAACAAAGCAGGTCGCATTGTCTTCCATTGTTGGCCAGCATGAACTTCTTTCATTACTTGATTAGCTCCTCCTGCAGAATAATGAACCACTCCTTCGAAGATGAATTGTTTGGCATGTTTTTGCAGTTTTTTACTTTCCTTTCAGTCATCTGGGAGGGCTGCAAACTGACCAGCATCAGAAAGAGGCAATTCCAAAATTCAGGAATTGAATGAATAATTCATAAAAAGAACAGCTATTTATGATACAATGGAATTTGTGTGATCAAATGTTCAAACAATATGCATGGGATGATCAATTTGTCAGAGGAGAAATTATCAACAGTCTAGCATTCCCTCACGCTTTGCACCAATGAGTTTTTTATTTGAAAGAAAAAAGAAGGCTATGCCTTCACCAAATGCTTAATATTAAGTAACAACAGCACTTCAAATGGCAGAGCATAGGGTATGGCATGGCATGGATTCAACCAAATATATAGTAAAGCGAAACATGACAAACCTCCAAGTTTCACTAAAGTGTAGCTCACTCCTTTTAGGATCTGAAATACTATGTCAGCTCCATTCAGTAAGCAAATACGGAAACTGTAAATACAATGAATATTTACATCAATTATAACAATACAAACAATAATACCACAGCCCTGCATTATTTCTACATATGAATAAATAATGCAAGATTATATTTATTTATTATTATAATTATTTTTGTATGAGGAAAATTTATAGACAAAAGAAAAAGATGACACAGTCTTATCCCTCATTATAACTACCAAATATGGGTAAAAGTTAACAAGGTTTAATAACGTATGAGAAGTGTCCAACACCGGTAAGAGTTGAATAGAATATTTGACAAGTAAATGATTTCACTAAATAAACAATTTAATTCAATTTTTGAGTCCACTTCCCTTACACAATTTTTTAATACTTATTTATCTCTTGTCGTTATCATGAATCAACTTCTTGAACCCAAATACTCAAAATGTCCAATCAAAGATTTTATTTGCTTTAAATCTGGCACATCATCAAAAACAATGAAAACAATGTTCATCCTCTAAAATTGCACAAATAAGTTCTTGGTGCAAGTCAGTTAGTCCCTTGCTTTTCTCTTATTCTCCTCTAATATTTTTAACAAAGTAAGAGCTTTCAAAATATCTAGAGATTTTATTGAGTACAGCAGCAACAAGAGCGGTCTTATCTATTCCACCAATACCCCAAATTCCTATCTTGTGAACACCAGCAAATTCAATGCATAATAAATATTCAATATACTCGATTCTAGAATCTACTCCAACTAGGTTCTTGTTTTCAATTAAAGAAGAGTCCTCATTCAATCTCTCCAAAATATCTTTGACAACTTGAACCCTCTCAGGAGTTGGAGACAAGCGGCCGTTGTGTTAAATGCCTCTTGTCGATTTCGGTACAACAATGCAGGGGGGTTAAAGGGCTATCTGATTTGTTAAAAACAAATTTAGAAAGGGAATTAATGGTGAAGATGCTGACTTGCTTAAATGAAAGAATGTGTTTGGATCAAACACCTATCCCCAGAAAAAAGGGAAGAAGTTTTTGGATGTTCCCCTAGGAAGCATGGGCAAGACCTTACTTTGATCATATTGATGGTAGCTGCGGTGGCTTCTTTTTGGCGCTTGGCATAAAGAAAGAGGGTATAAGGAAGGATGGTATGATGGAGGGAGCATTGCCTTTGCGGTTATTCTAGTTATTGTTGTGACAGTTATAAGTAATTATCGACAATCTTTTCAATTCCAAAACCTTAATGAGGAGAAGAGAAACATACATCTGGAGGTCATTAGAGGCAGTAGAAGAATTGATGTCTCAATATATGATATCGTTGTTGGTGATTTTGTGCCCCTCAACATTGGTGATCAGGTCCTTGCTGATGGAGTTGTTATTTCTGGTCACTCACTTTCCATTGATGACTCCAGCATGATCAGAGAGAGCAAGATTGTTCACAAGGACTCAAAGGACCCATTTCTAATGTCTGGCTGCAAGGTTGCAGAGGGCAACGGCGTCATGCTTGTAACCAGTGTTGGGACTAATACTGAATGGGGAATGCTCATGGTTAGCATTTCAGTTAAAAGCTTGAAAAGCTTCATTACTAGATAATTCTTCCATCTTAACTATATGTATGGGATCCGTTCCACATTCTTTTAGAACTTGTTCATCCCTTGTCGTTATGATTATTCGACTTTCGGAGTCCAAGTATTCAAAATCTTCCATTGGTTTTAAATTTGTCACATCATCAAACACAATAAGAACACAGCCAAGCCTTTTCCTTTCCAAGGTGGATCCAATATTGGGAGGTTTATATCCTAAAACCGTAAAACGAAGTCTTTGGCTCAAGTCATTTAATCCCTCGCTTTTCTCTAATTCTTTCTCTAATATTCCGAACGAAGTAAGAAGCTTCAAAATGTTTTGAGACTTTTTTGAATACAGCATCCACAAGAGTTGTCTTACCTATACCTCCAATGCCCAAAATTCCTAGCTTGCAAACACAAGTCCATAGTAAATTTTTAATTTTCTCAATCTTTGAATCCAATCCAACTAGGTTCTTGTTGTCAATTTCTGAGCACTCATCATTAAATTTCTTCAAATTATCTTCGACAGTATCCTTTACAAGTGATGATTCATGCCTAAATAAAACAATACTAAAATTAGATAAATGAAAAAGAAACAAAGATAAAATTAAGGTTAAAAATGTACCGCGTCACAGTTAAAAAATTAGAAACCCTAAATGCCAAAGAACTTATTACTTGTTTGAACTTCATATTATCGGTTCTTATTATCCTTTTTTTTCCTTTCCCCAAAGAGACCAAAAAGACTTTGATTTGAAACTGGGTTTTCACTAGAAGTGACTTAACTAAGTGGGTTTCGAAAATGGAGTCGGATTAAGTGAAACAAGGGATTCAAAATTAAGAATATCAGAGTTTTGAAAAAAGATTAACAACAAAATAAATCAATATGAATTAATTGAAGGAAAAATAGGTTTTACATACCGAGTCTGGCATTTTCTCACGAATCAGGCATACGAAGAAATTGAATGAATGGAGATTTAGGGTTTGACAATGTGATTTGTAATCATATTTGACGCGAATGAACTGTATCTCCATTCTCCATCCCATTTCTCGCGCTTTTCTGGATCTCACCAAGCGAAGTTGTGCAATTAGAGGAATAAAAAAGAATAATTGATAGAGGCCACCCAATCAGCCTATAAAAAAGGGTTAATTAATTATCACCCCTTAGGTTCCGAAAATTAACATCACACCCCACCGTAAGCTGCCCCGGCCCCTCCCCCCCCCCACACTAAATGGCTGAAGCGTAGCGGCTACAATACAAACCTGGTTTCTAGAACCTGGGGTGACCGTCTTTTCCTCAAATCTCAAGGATGATTCTATAATTAGTACTTAAAATGGAATAGGGATTTAAATTATTTAATTAAAAATATTTATTTAAATTAATCAACACTATAGTGATTATAGACGATCATATTTATTAATGTTATTTAATTTTTATATATAAACCTTATCTGAAAGACGATAAAAGAAGTTTTCTCGCTTATTATTAATTATGAACCATTGAAGTCTAACAAAAATGAAAGTTTTAGTTTCATTATATTTGAATAAATAGAACGAATTGATAGTTAAAATGAGCATTTACCTCATTCTCCCACCATCCACAATGACTAAATCTTTATCATAAGTATACTGTTACTTTGAGAACAAGTATTTTTTCATAATCGAAGAACACGAATACTTTATGAAATACACAATTTATGTAACAAACATTCGAAATACAAAGACTGTCGTCTTGTAAAGATTTACATGACGACATTGCAACTGTACCCCTAAATATATTCTTTAAAAGATGATAAAATGTACATCATGCATCGAAAATTGATTTAATTACAAACGTAACTTCCTCTTCGGTAAAAAGACTATTTATATTTACAATTTCTCAGGACATGTGCGTGTGGCTGCTTCAAAAATGTCAACAGCTTAAAGTATGCAGATTATGTTTATAACAACAATGTCCATACGTACCTCTGATGGGGGAAACAAAGTTTGGATGGTGATGAATGATGATCTTCCAGAGATTTTTGCACTTGTAGATTTTTTCCAGTTTAAAATTAGGCAGGCTCACGAGGACGAGTAGCCCAAATAGAACTCAAAGCTCTAAGTTGTTGGAAGTACTCCTCCAACGCGAACAAGCCTCCAGCTGCTTGGCGACTTGTCAGGATACAAGACATCTGCTATAGCGTTTCCTGGCGAAGATGGTCAGCCTGTTTGGACAAGAACTTGTAAAGTTGGTAACATATCAAGATGTTCTAATTAAAAACTAACATAGTTCAGATGGTATGAACCCGAAAATTAAGGAACCATACTCTGCTAAGACCCGTATATTACTTTATACTAATCATATCATTTTTAATAATGAAAAACCAATTGGTGGTCTGATCGTCGATCGTGAAATCTTATTTGAAGAACTCTCAACAGTGGAGAACATCCATATTAGAGTCTGTAACCACACTTAAGTTTACAGTAAAAGAGAAGCACTCAAGGAAAATTTTACTATGGTTTTTTATTACATCACGAAAATGATATTGCCTACACATCATGAATGCATTAAACCACCAAAATGTGAACTCAATGCCAAGAAGATGGTTTAAAAGGAAAGGGAACAGAAAAGATGTGATTTGTCTCACGTCACGGGCTGACAGAATTTCGGCCACAATAATAAGTCAATCATCAGCTAGTTATTTTCCATACTAGCTGCATAGTGCTTGAATAAACGGCTTGAAGAAGAAGAAAACTTCAATTTCACAGAAATGCAAATTTGATTGACTAGAAAGTTTCTGAATTTAAATCAGATGTGCTGATAAAGAACTAATTGATGGGAAGATATTGGAAGTACAGATAGCATGCAATAGAAGCGTCAGCTATACTTCGGAAGAATCCAGAATAAAGCCATACTTGATTGCGCAATGATGCAGTAGGTATCTGTGGGATATAATCTTTTACCAGTTAACCAGCAGCTACAGTTTCAGCAAGAGTTGATTACAATTTCTCCATGCCTTGAGACAGAGCATCTTCTGCATGCTGACATGACTGTCTTAGGTTAGCAACTTCCATATATTGTGAAAGACCTTAGATAACAATTTGATTAAGAAATATGTGGAAGAGCAATATTTACACATATATTAAAGAATGTGTCCAAAACAATGGTTACTCCATTTATTATCCATAAATACTTTCAATGGAGCAAATAATTTCACTTATTAAATAAACAGAAATATGAATCACCTTGAGAAGCTCAGAAGGGTGAAATCATCTAACCCAAAAGAAAAAACATTCAGCTGTTGTCTTCCACATGCCGGACATTACATAGAAAATATCGGCTTTTGCAACAGCATATTTCATGCGGAAGAGTTCAAAATAGTGGCTCATGCCACCCTCCAATGCAGACCTCAGTTCATGAATTTGCCTATTTTGCTCTTGAACCCAATGTCCATACTCCATCTCAACTGTAGCAATTCCTGCACAAACCTCGATACAGACTTTTTGTTGAATGCAAGAACATGGAATGACAAAAAGAAGTATTCTATAAGCAACAGGAACTACTGGAAATCAAATCACAAAGAACACATTCAACGCATCAGAGACTATATACATAGCTTCATAACACAACATCAATTTTCATGGTGGTGTCAAGTTTGCAAAGCATTGGAAACTTGTGCTTATGGACAGCTGGAATCTTTTGCCATTAACATTTTCGAGACATTTGATTTATAGACAGCATTGAAATGACATCAGTGTGGATGAACAAGGTATGTAGTCTTTCTTACGTAATCTTTACAAGCACTTGAAATGATGGATGGCGGAAAATTAAAACAACGATTTAGGAAATCAAACTATGAACATATTGGGGGAATCATGCTTTGAAGGGAACATGATTAAAACATTAAATAGCAAGAGCATACAATGATTGGTGGTGGTAAGCTAGTAGTACCAAAATTCCAAAAACAATATTATGATCAATAGTACAGTCTAGGTTCCAGGAGTCAGATACCAAATCACCGAAATTGGAGACATGCAATTTCCAGAAATAGAAATGTTTGTGAGTGAGGACTTCAAAACTAGAAGTTATTCAGCAATATTTTGACAAACCTGAATTTACAGGTCCAGAGAACCCAACTGACAACCTTCTACTCCACCACCTACATACAAACCCTGCAGTGCAGCATTCGTTGTTTCAAATATTTGAATGTGAATAGGAAATAGGAGGGAAACGGTTTCTAGTGTCATAATACCAATCGACTAAACAAGAAACAGAAATAGTAAATCTTCTTTATACCTGTTGTATAGCTCACTCAAGCTCCTGCTCTAACTGAACTAACTTCAATCTACTAGATTCTAGATGCTGAACATAGGCCTGCAAAACAAACACAAGTTTAACTTAAAATCCCAAACCACTTGTTGCATGTTAGGGAATCTGTTTCAGAGCAGACCTCCTCTACCTTTTTCTGCAATTGGTTTTTACGAGTAGCCTCATGGTTTTGTGCAAGACGTCTTTGTATTGCAGAATTTTGTAACAAAAAACAAAAAGAAGAAAAACTCATGTCATGTTGAAGGGAATATATTTATTATATTAAAACAACCATATACAAAATTAGCCACAACCTTTCGGTCAAATTGGTCAATTGTGAGAATCCATGCACTGAATACAATGAAGTCAAAGGTAGTGGCATAGTACATTAAGTTATGTGCCAATTCTTGGCTTTGTGCAGGTATAGAATATTTAAGTAATTTCTGAGTCAATCATGGAGAAGAGGATCAATTTGAAAATAGTTATAACTCAAGAAAGCCAGAGAAAACAACAGAACAGTATATGCTAACATTAGCAAAATACAAATATACTAGATTACAGAGTAATCACCAAAAGTCCTTGCCAACTAATACAAAAACCACCTTCATTGCATCAATACATGAACCACTTTTTAGGAGGGTAATATTTCAAAAGTTTCAACCAATTAGGCAAACATAAAGCAACAATAATTTTAGAGAAGAAACAAGTATCAAAGACTAAGAAGCAGGACACGAGTTTGCGAGTCTACAGAAAACAGATGATGCAAATAAACATGTACAATAGATAACCTGAACATGAAAAATACAGCAAGGAAAAGGAGGGGAAGAGAACCTATAGGAGAAAAACAGTATGTACTCTTCTAATTTTCAATGGAAATCTTTCGACAAACTAACAGATATGTCCACCCAATACAAATACTATTCATATAAATTAGAATCAGAGAAAACAAATGAACAGAAACACAATTGACCATACCTTATCAACAGGTTTACTTGCTTCTTGTTCATACTTGTTAGAAGACGGGAACGTTCCATGCGAAGTATCCTCTGACTGAAAAGTTGAACAAAGAACTATTTAGCTTGGGAATCCAAATAATATGCCCTCTACCATCAGACCAAGTAGAGTAAATGTCAATAGTTCGCACTTGCGTGTCTAGTTTTGTATCCACCTCCACAATTATAGGTGTTGATGTATTCCGATTGCCATTGCTTTTAAAGTTTTCCCCCCATGCCAAGTTGATGAATGGGCTCATAAATTCCCAATCTACTTGGGGTGGCAAACTGGGTGGACGGAGAGTTCATGCCCTTCAAACTTTAGACATAAACACAAATACAAGCATAAAGACAACAAGATGCAAAATTGATATAAGGGGTATTTGAGCTTGAGGTCTAAATTTGAATTAAACAAAATCAGGCTAACAAGATATCAAATTGACAGCGTTCCAATGCAAAACAACCGAAGTCATGGAAACCTTAAAAACTTGCTCTACTTACGTGATAGAAACAAAGTCTAAGAGTTAAGTTCTGACATAATTTGATTCAGATCTTAGAAGACTTCAATTTAACAGTAAGCATTATCTTTTGCAGATGAAATCAACAAAACGCGAATTATTTATAAGGATGCAAAAAGACAAAAGTGAACGGAGTATGTGGCAATCTAATTATACAAATCTAGCAATGAAAGTCAAATATCTCAATGAACACCACAATGTACAATACACACTTCACCAGAGGAGTTGGATGCACAAGTAGAGAAAGAAAAAGGCCTTAATTTACTGCAATATTTTCATTTTGTTTAACCTACAAATTAAAACATCACCAGAGGAGCTAATCAAACCCTGTTATTTTCTTTATAACACCTTTTTTTTTCTTTTTTTTCCTCGAATTGCTATGATATTCTAATTAGCTATATTAAATTATTGGAAGTTAAGGAAATATTATATTCAATACCTAAATTATAATGGTATGTTATTAAAGTATTAGTAATATGATGAAATCTTTCAAAAAAAAAAAAAAATCCAAAATGCATCTTCTTGAGAAAATAATAAAAACCTTTTTTTTCTTTTTTCTTTTTGTAAATCCGGTAATTGTATAAAAAAATACAGAGGAAAAACCCTCCACAGCTCTCTTACCTTGGACAGGCCCAAGTAAAAAAACAAAGTAAAAGCCTAAAAGCTAAGGATGTACAATCCTTAAAAAAAAAAAAAGCCTGGAACAAAAAGAAACAACAATCTACAAAGCAAAAACAAGGCCAAACCAAGACTAGCCTTTTTCAACTTAAATAGCAGAAGCCCAAAGTCTCTCTATTCCCATTAGTAGCAAACACATGATCCATTAAACCATTAACGACTTCTTCCTCATGCCTCTTTTTGCCTCTGACATTATTATTACTATTATTATTAACAATATCATTCTTAAATTATGTTTTAATAAAACCTCTTATTAAATAAAATTATTGTAGAAACATTATTTAACAAACAACCACATGCAAAGATCAATGGAATATTTGCTAAAGCTTATTCAAAGTCTCCTAATAAAAAGAAGTGTATAATTCCAAATTGTATTGCAACCTGGACAGATCACCAAATGAGGTTAATCGTATTAATTGATAATATAAAACTGATGAGCCAACAATTCCCCATCTTTTCTTTCATATACATCTTATCGATAAATGTAAAAATTATAATATAACTTCCAAAGGAATATAAATTTTAGTTACTTTAAAATGGATAAACCTATCGATAAATGTAAAAATTATAATATAACTTTTAAAGGAATATAAATTTTAGTTACTTTAAAATGGATAAACCACAAAAGAAGATCAAACCGTGTTATATAGTTGTATTAAAAAGAACTATCATAGAAGAAAAACACAAATGAATGTCTAAGCAAGAGTGCACAACCACAAGAAGCCTAATGTCTACAATCTTGTGATCCTATACAAAAAGCCAAGCAAGAGAGAAATGCCATAAAACTTTGTCCATCTCTCCCAACAAGAGCAAAAAAACAACAAAAAGATCTGCACAAGGGGCTGCCTCATTTCCCACACCAAAGCCACAACCGAGACTACAACTCTTCCACTATCTATGCTTACAATTCAGAATATATATATATCAGCTGCAAGAAATCCATCCTGCCCAAGTTCCCATCCTTCATACATGGCACTATAACGACTGCTGTATACTAGATGCATATCAAAACCCACAACTACATACGAGACTTTATAACCAGTCCAACCTGTCAAATGCACCATCTGCTACTCCCACCCCTTAAACACTACATAATCTATTTGAGTTTGCTTGACCAAACAGATTATGCATTGTTTAAGGTCACCATGGTCACACCTGCTAGCTTCTCTCAACCTAGGCACAAATTTGGCATATATATCTTGAAGAACAGGCAAACAAGAAACCCCAGAAATGATGGACTAAAAAGCCTTGAATTTCCTACTGAAATTTATAATTGTATATATTTAGAAACTATTTATACTATAAATGTAATTTTTTCCAATATATTTTGAACTTTAATATTATAAATTTTATTATATTATTATGAAATTTGAATATAATTATTTTGTTTAATCCATATTGTCCCAAACATATTACAGTATCCTATCACACACACATGTATATATTCAATCCAACATAATCATTTTAGGACTTTCATGTCTACACATGCTTCTAAATCATCCTAGGTGCGTCAATTAAATGAGTTGAGCTGGTTCTGAGGACAGATATAAGGAGCAAATAAATGGTGCTGCTTATAATGGCATATGGAGATGATAGGGAGAATGACAATTGGGCTGGCATATCGCATGATTTCAATGAATTGCTTTCCCTTGAAGTAAAGTGCTGGAAAAGCGTGTCCCTCTTTCTACTCTTGCCCCAAAAGTCTTTTTTTTTTTTTTTTTTTTTATATTTACCACCTTATTAAATAAACTGATTCAGTTTCTTTGAATTGGCATGTCTCTTGGTTTATGTTCTAAGAGTAATACTACACATACATAATTTTCATACATCATTTCTCATACAACATTATGTGACAAGATATGATTGACTAATTTAAAGTTAAAATTAAACTTTCATCCAATCACATTTTGTCACATAATATTGTATGAGAAATGTTGTATAAGAATGATGTATATGTAGTATTATTCATGTTCCAATACCCATAATATGTGATGCTTTAGTCATATTCAGTAGAAAACAAATACCCAAATAGTAGTAATTTACAAGAGTAGAAAGAGCAATCAACATCATTTCACTGCCTAGAAAACCCATGAGGAAAATAAACCCATGGCTGCTGCAAATTAACTCAGCTCCCTTTTGAATACTGTGAATCAGTTTCAGATTGAATTTGAACAAATTATAGTGAATTAGTCTGATCACATATATGTTTTACTTTTTCTTGCTTGCTTTAATTTCTGTTTAATTGGAAGACTAATTTATTAAAATTTATACATGGTTGATTATTGTGGTCAACTATAAAAATATTTAACTCCCCACTTCTATGTATAACTATATGCAAGCTCTAAGGAAGGAAGAAGCATTTGCAATTGATAACTAATACTAACAAGCAATGAAGAAAAGAACAGCCATCATTGGAGCTGGTATTAGTGGTCTTCTTGCCTGTAAGTACATTTTGTCCAACGGTTTCCATCCAACTGTTTTTGAGTCATAAAGTTGCATTCCAGACAACAAAACTACAAACTCCAAAATCTTCTCTAATTTTCCATGACCCTCTTTAGTCATAAATGTTTAAGTAATGCATGGTGTAATTGTTTGATTGTTGTTTATGTTTTAGTTTTGGCACGATCTGCTTGGGTTAATTTGAGCTACTTGTTTTTTTGTCGTTGGATTTTGGCCTTATTTGTTTGGGTAGGCAGCAGTTGTGTATGATAGATTTTTTTGTGTTTTTACTTGTTTTTGTTCTCTATCTTAATTTTTATATGTTATAGCTATATTTCTAATTTCTGATCATCTTTTTGTTTGTTATTGAAAATCATGGTGTATCCCTTTGTCTATTTACACTTTTCTAGAAATCAGAATGGTGAAGCATGGAGGAGGAAATTGTCAAAGATGTAACTCAACAAATACAATTGAAGATTTACGCAACATTTAGGAGCTGTAACATAAGCATCTTGGAAATTGCTTCTGTTTTTTTGTATATCGTCCTTGTAAACACATTTCGCTCTACTAATTTCATAGTTTCTGTTTATTTGTAACTCAAAAAGAATTTCATTACAAATTATGTTCTTTTGTATGAATGATTTCTTTTAAATAATGAAGAATTTCAACTACAAACTAGCAATTTTATTCTGCCACTTTCTTTGTATATATTCACTTAAAAATTTGCTACCAAAACAGGGATAAATTGGTCATTTGTTGTGTCTCATTTTTTTAAAAACTCATAGAGACAAACTAGTCATTTCACTAGCTTATAATAACTTGATGGCATAATCATAATTCACCATAATGATGTAGGTATTTACATAATTGAGTTGACTAAAATTAATAAAAAACTAAGATTTAAACTTCAAAGAAATGAATAATAACTAATGGGCCTGAGCCCTAAAGTCCATACGAACTTCTGTAAACCTATTTGTTTTTTTTTTATTTTAATCCCTCTCTGCAAAATTAGTAACCCCATGTCTCATTTCTTCTCTACCAACTCATCACTACTGCAAACCACTAAGCGCCACCACCCCCAAACAACCCCTAACCTCCCACCCCGGGCGGTAAACTGAACTTTTTTCTTTTTTGTTCCTTCTTTGTTTTTTAAATTACTATTCTCGTTTTTATAGACTAAAGGTTAATTAGCTATTATCACTCTCTTTCTCTGTCTACAAAATTCAAAACTCTCTAACGGATGCATTTCCCTCTTCTTGTCTCCAATGCCCTAAATCTCAACAATCTTTGCCCAAATTAACAAACCCTACTCTCTCTTCTCTCTCTTTAGTTTATTGATCGGAATGAAGCACTTCATGCAGCCAAGAAACACAATCTTGAGGGAAGTGAGTCACCATCTCTAAACCCTAATTCAAAATTAAAGTCA